GGCCGTATTAAAAACATTGAACTGTAGTAGAAGCGGAAGCGTGTTAGAAGCAGAAGAGCAATAATGCCTGGCTAAAAGGGAGGGTTTTGGGGGGTTTTTTGGGATGTCTAGCATTGCTTCAGAAATAATATTCTACTAGCCTAGACTGGATTTTGCAAAAACCTCGAAGCCTTCCCATGGGTCTCACCAAGCAATATTTGAGGTACACGGGCACTGCCCTCTTTGGGGTGATTGCCAGCCAGAAAGGCAATATTGCCTATGTGACTCTGCGTGGTGAGAAAGGTCGCTATGTTGCAGTGCCAGCCTGTGAACATGTTTTTCTGTGGGATACAAGGAAAGGAGAAAAGGTAAGCAGTTCTTAGCACAAAGCCATGTTCATTATGTGAGGTTTTGTTTTCATGTCAGAAGTGATTAAATGAAGGTGCTGTGATCTTAATGAAGGTTTATTTAAAATTATTGCTGCAATCACACCAATTTGTGAGGGAGTCTCAGGAAAGCATTGGAAGTAGTCCTCTTTTAGTGACTGCCTTGTTTAGCGACTGTTAATAGTGATGAAGAAGTAACTTTATGACCAATCCTCACATTTACAACCTTCACGGGTCTGTAAAACAAGGGAAAGCTGAAGTAAGATCATAGGCACAGTCTCAGTTTCACTTAGCGACTGCTTTGCTTTATGACTTGAGTAGCCATTCCCAGTTGTGGTTGCTAAATGAGGACTACCTGTATTATTATTACTACTACTACTAGATTTTTATCCCACCTATTTATATATATAACCCGAGGTGGCAAACATATCTAATACTCCTGCATCCTATTTTCCCTATAACAGCAACCCTATGAGATTGGTTGGGCTGAGAGAAAATGACTGGCCCAAAGTCACCCAGCCGGCTTTCAAGACTAAGGGAGGCCTAGAACTCAGTCTCCTGGTTTCTCGGCCAGCACCTTAACCATATTAACCATTAATAATATACATTAATATAAAACCCAACTATTACATACTCATACAATAGTCTCCTGTAATTACTGTTAACAATTACTTCTACTCTCTTTATGTGTAGTTGTTCTCCCAATATGCAGCTATACTGTACAGCCAGAACAGTAGTCTGCTTATAAGAGAGAAATATTATCAGCTTAGGGGAATTTCAAGATTTGCACAACTATAAAAATCTTTAGAAAAAACAGTCCTTTTATTTTATTATTTTCATTATATAAAAATTATATATATATATAA